GAAGGCGGCGGACTTCTGAGACGGCCCGCCCCTTCTCAATTCCCCACTGGGCGCGCCGCCGAAGTTTGGCGACAGGGGTCTTTGGGCTTGGGGCTCGAATTGTCTCAACGTGTTCGTCGGTGCTCGGTGGTTCTTCAGCCTCGGGGTGCGCTCTGGCGGCTGCGCCACGCCGAGGGCGTTCTTGGCGAGGGAGGTATTGGGTGGGGGCCCCCACCACCACGTCGATTCCCCCCTCCCTCCCCTACCCTCCTCGTCCTCTCTTCTTCCCTGGGAGAGGGAGGGGGCCAGGGAGGTGGTGGTGTACATTTTTGGGCCCCCCATTGGGGCTTGAGGCTCGAGCTGTTTCTGCCGTTTTTGTCGGTGCTCGGCGGTTCTCCAGCCTCGGGATGTGCTCCGGCCGCTGTGCCTCGCCGAGGGCGTTCTGGGGGTGCCCGAGACGGTCTGGTCGGCCGCCTGAGGCCTGAGCTATGACCCGGAAGACTGGAGGGAGAGGGAAGCAGAGGAGGAGGAGGAGGAGGAGGAGGAGGAGGAGGAGGAGGAGGAGGAGGAGGAGGAGGAGGGAGAAGAGGGAGGAGGAGGAGGAGGAGGAGGAGGGGGGAGGAGGAGGAGGAGGAGGAGGAGGAGGAGGAGGAGGAGGAGAGGAGGAGGAGGAGGAGGAGGGGGAGGAGGGGGAGGAGGAGGAGGGGGAGGAGGCGGAGGCGGAGGAGGAGGAGGCGGAGGAGGAGGAGGAGGCGGAGGAGGAGAAACATAGCCCACCGCCACCGAGAGCCCATGAGGGCAGCGGCACGCCCAGACATCGTCCGGCCCCGGGTGACGCTCGGGCGTGCCACCGCCCAGGGGGCCCCTCCCGCCTCCCGATGAGTTCTCGGTGGCTGTGGTCTTTTACTTCTCCTCCTCTGAGGACGGACCCAGATAGAAGAGCGCGCCGAGTTCGGGTGACGGACGGAGCAGAGCGATGGAAAAGGAGAGAAGCACAACTCTCAATCAGCAGAGACCGACGACGAGGACTTCTCCTCCTCTGAGGAGGGGGGAGGGGCGGGGGAGAAACCGAAGTCCAGTCGTGCCTTCTTCCTTCCCTCGCCCCTCGGGCAACTGCCAGCGTCGGCGTGCGTCTGGCGTGCCGCGTCGGTCAGTTGCGCCCCGCTCGGGCGTCACGGGCCGCCGTGGATTGGGGACGCTGCGGGGCGCGCTGGTGGTAGAGGGAGGAAGACCACGACGACGAGGAGGAGGAACGGGAGCAGGAGGATGTGGAGGAGGGGGTCGCGGAATGAGAGGAGGGAGAGCGAGGATGAGGAGAAGGTCGACGGGTCGAGGAAGAGGACAAGCGGAAGAGGAGTAGCACGAAGAGAAGAGGGGACGAGGATATAAGGATGAGGATGAGGATGAGGGGAATATAATGCTAATAAGCATCTCATCTGGTGGCCATTGCACGAACAGGACAAACGGAGGAGTACCCGAAGCAGGAGGGGGGGCGGATAGGGGCGAAGGTCGGAGAGGAGGGGTGAGAACGAGGAGTGAAGAGGAGGATGAGGAGGAGGAGGAGGAGGAGGAGGGAAGAGGAAAGGGAGGAGGGGGATGAGGAGGGGGGCGCAAGACGAGGAGAGGATCCCTGCATACACACCCCATGTGACCCCTGACCACCGCTGCAAGCGTCCTCCTCGCCGTACTGTGGATCCCTACCGCCCTTCCTCCACATCTTCATCATCCGTCGCCCCCTCGCCCCCCGTTTCCTTCTAGTTTTCCCCCCTCCTTTTCCTCCCCGCCCTCACGATTATTCATGGAGTAGGGCCTCCTACTCCCAACGTGTGCAACACTTTCCCCACCGCCTTCCCGTCCATTATTACATCATGCCGATGCCTTGTTTCCTCCTTCTCTAGCTCGAGTCGGGCAATGGTTGGGGGGTCACACCAAACAGATACGGGTACCCGATCAGTTCTCAGGAGTCGGAGGCTGCAGAGCACGATTAGGAGGCGGAGAGGAATGAAAACGAGTGATTCGGAACATGAAGAGGGCAAGGAGGAGGAGAGAGGAGGAGAGGGCGGATCGGGGGGATGCGGAACAGCAGGGTAGGGACAGAGGGATGGATGGGCTGGAGGAGGAGGCGGAGGAGGAGGAGGAGGAGGAGGTGATTGAGAATCAGGGTGGAGGGGAAAGGAAGGAGTGTCAAGGAAGGAGGAGGAGGAGGACGAGGAGGAAGGAGGAGAGCGAGATGAGAGGGGGGAGGAGAAGGCATGAGGAAGGTGTTGGAGGAGGATGCGGGGGGGGGTGGGAGGAGAAGGAGTCGGCGGAGAAGAAGGCGGAGGAGGAGGAGGAGGAGGAGCAGGAAGGGGAGGAGACAACGTTGGCGTCTGTGCCGAGTGTGTTCTGGGGTGAAGTGTATGAGGCACTCTGGGGAGCGAGGAATCTTGAAGGAGGGTGCGAGGACTGCCGAGGGGAGGAGCGATGAGTGCGGGAGGTGGAGGTCGCAGGAAGGAGGAGGGAGACGGAGGATGAGGAGGATGACCCATTGGATTGTAACGCATTGGGCTGGTTCCCGCGTATACGTGGCGCTCCTCCCTTCTTCGAGCGCCTCCGACCTATCAGCCCTACGGGCTTCCGCAGCCAGGACGGTTCCGCGGGCTGGCGCCTATAGGCGCTGCCTTTTGGGAACCCGGATGCCGTTAGGGAGGATTATTAGGGAGGCACGATTGGTCAGGATGATGATGTTGCTGATGATGACGATGATGATGATGATGATGATGATGATGATGATGATGATGATGATGATGATGATGATGATGATGATGATGATGATGATGATGAGGATGGTGATGATTATGAGGAGGAGAAAGGAGGATCGATGACCACTTGCGAGGAAGGAGTATCGGAGGAGCGAGGAAAGAGGACGATCTTGCAGTGTCGAGTGGCATGCTGTCCTGAGCAAGAGGAGGGGAGTGAGAGGGGAAATAGGCCCCTTAGAGCCATTCGCACCTTTTAGAAACCCCCCAAGCAACATAAACGGCCCATCTGGAGAAGGAGGGGGAGGAGGAGGAGGAGGAGGAGGAGGAGGAGGAGGACGAGGAGGAGGCGGAGGAGGAGGAGGAGGGGGAGGAGAAGGAGGAGCAGGAGGAGTATGTTGCGACGAGGCGGGTTGCGGGAGGAACTGGAGAGGAAGGCGGGCGACGAGGAGGGATACGTAAGAAGTGCAAGACGATACACGGGTGGAGGATGAAAAAAGCTGGACAGTCAAGGAAAAGGCAGGGGAACAAGGCGGAGGATGAGGAGGAGGAGGAGGAGGAGGAGGAGGAGGGGCAGGAGGAGGATGATCAGGAGGAGGAGGAGGAGGAGGAGGAGGAGGAGGAGGAGGAGGAGGAGGAGGAGGAGGAGGAGGAGGAGGAGGAGGAGGAGGAGGAGGAGGAGGAGGAGGAGGAGGAGGAGGAGGAGGAGGAGGAGGAGGAGGAGGAGGAGGAGGAGGAGGAGGCGAGGCCGACAGTGAGGGAAGAAGAGAGACGAATGATGAAGAGGAGGGGGAGGAAGGAGAGGCGCGCGGCATTAAGGCACACCTTTGGTCGCCTGGTTTGGGGGGTCGCCCTGTTGCGAGCACCCGTATGGTCTGTCGCCGTCCACCTGGGTGTTGACAAACTTCGATTTGATGGGCACATACACACAAACACGCGCGCGCGCACACACACACACACACACACACACACACACACACACACACACACACACACACACACACACACACACACACACACACACACACACACACACACACACACACACACACGCACACTCCTTTTCACGGTGGCCCCGAGGCGCTCGGCTGACACGCACGGCTTTGGTGGACACAAGATGAATAACGGGGCCAGTGCCAGAGCGAGATCGGCAGGAGGCGGAGGAGGAGGAGGAGGAGGAGGAGGAACACTGAAGGATGAAAAGTGGATGAGGCGGAGGAAGGACGAATCAGGAGCGGGAGGGGATAAGGCGGAGGGCGAACGAAGGCGTGAGGAGTTAGAGGGGAGGAGGAGGAGGAGGAGGAGGAGGAGGAGGAAGAAGAAGAAGGATTAAGAAGAGGAGGACGAGGAGGAGGAGGAGCAGGTGGAGGCGGAGGCGGAGGCGGAGGCGTAGGCGGAGATGGAGGCGGAGGACGAGGAGGAGGAGGCGTGAGGAGGAGGAGGAGGGAAGGAGGAAGAGGGGGAGGAGGAGGAGGAGGAGGAGGAGGAGGAGGAGGAGGAGCAGGCGGAGGAAGGAGGCGGGAGAAGGACGGTGACGAGGAGGGAGGAGGAGGAAGAAGAGGAGGAGGTCGGGAGGAGGACGACGAGCACGGAGGGTGCCGACCGGCCCGATCCCGGCTGCCGAGGTCAAGGGCCTCCGCGACACCTCGGCCGCGCTGCTGGCGCGCGCGCGCCAGGACGCGGCCGGGGCCAGACAGAGGGGCGTGGAACCCGAGAGGCGCCGCTCGGCCTCGTCTCCTCCGCCTCGCCCTCCTCCTCCGTCTCGTTGTCATCCTCGTCCGCCTCGCCCTCCTCGTCCTCTCCCTCGCCCTCCTCGCCCTCCTCTCGCCCTCCCCTTTCTCCTCCAGCTCCTCCTCCTCCTCCTCCTCCTCCTTCTCCTCCTCCTCCTCCTCCTCCTCCTCCTCCTCCTTTTCATCCTCCAGCCGTGTCGGCCCAGGCGATCTGGGCTTGCCCGAGTGCACTTCGACGCGGCTCGCTCGGGCGGGCCACGGATGGCGACGAAGCATCCTTCTTGGCCGTGTGGGAACTGCGCGAGGGTGTATGGCACTGCGTTCGCCAACTATGCCCATCGCACCCGCTGCCTGCGCTGCGGCAGGCAGGCGCCAAAAGGAGTGCCTATGGAAATGGTGGAAAGCCTAAGGCTCCATTGCATAATATCAAGAACCGGTGGGAGGACGAACCGCTTTTTTTCGCTATTAGGACAACGCCGAGTCGAGCCAAAGGCACCACCAGCGTCAGCCCCAGTCGATCAGGCAACGGCGAGAGCAATGCTTGAGACAATGGCAAAGGCGCATGGAGACGACAGAACAAAGTGGCCTGGAACGGCGCAGAGTATGGTGCAGCTATGGAACAAGGCGGCGGCAGACAAACCTGCAGAGAACCAGCCTGCGGACATCACCGAGCTCACCTCGTTCCAGCTGGGACAGCGCCTCGGGGACACAAGCAAGAATCTCATCAAGTCTGAGGAGCGGCTCAAGGAGCGCGAGGAGGAGAACCAGAGCGCTCTGGCCAGTCGCGATGCAGAGAAGTAAATCTTGGGCAACCGCAAGCTTAAAAGCTGCAGCCCGAGAAGGCCAAGACCGAAGCCTACCTACGAGATTACGAGAGCAAGCCAGCGGTGCGCATAGTCCAACACGGCAGCTCCTGCGGGAAGGTCGCGGAGGTCCAGCAGTCAGCTGGAGGCAGCGAGGTCCGTGAATGTCTTCGATCTTCGAGGACCGATGCAGGCCCTGCAGCAGGCGCTCGAGCAGCACCAGCAGCAGCAGAAGCAGGAGAAGGAAGAGGCTGAACACAACAGGGCTCAGCAGGCTGATGCTCGTGATGCTGACGCTGACAATGGTGATGCGTCCCTGGCAAAAGGAGACGACGTCCCTGTTCCAGAGGATGAGGAAATGGAGGACATCTTCCATACCATGGGCTCAGCTTGCAGCAGCAGCAGCACTGCGCGCAAGAGGAGAAGGGCGCAGGCCCCAGCTGTTGCAGGGGGGGGGGGGGGGGGTCAGCCTGAGGTCTTCGCGGAGGCGAGCAGCCGGGGCCAGCTCCAGCAGATAGCGGGCGAAACCAAGTTCACGTTTCAGCAGATGGGTTTGCTAGAGAACGCATCATCTACACAACTGCGCAGGGCTGTGCACAGCTTGGATTGTCTCAGCAGCCTCGGCGCATGCATGGTTGATAATCTCCGTGCGCCGACAGCGGCGACTTCGGCATCCCAGCGCGCTTCTCTTGGGAAGGCGTCGATGGCACGGAGTGCGGCATGCGTTTCGTTTTGGGCCATTTCGACGGCAACTTGTACTGCGACCCAGAATTCAGTCTCTTTTGGGCGCGCGTCGTCGGCAACTGGTCGTGTTTTCCGGAGATGCGGCACGAGTCTTCCTGATTACGCTCGGCCAGAGGTTGTGGAAACGACAGAGGTCAGAACTTGGAGGACTGCCACGACAAGCATCACTCCGGCACAGGAGGAGGCGCCACAGTTTTCAACGATAGCGATGGTGATGGCGGAGATCGAGGCTGAGGCTGGCGCGCTACTCATCCAAGAGCACAAGTTGCTCAAACCGGCTGTCGGGGGCACGGTGGCGAGGCTCAAGCATCAAGGTTGGCATTCCCGCATCGCGCCAGCGAGGCGAGGTAATATTTTGCATGCGGCCTTGTCGGGAATTGCAGCAGGAGTTCGGCAAGACATTGGGTCAACTGATCCACGTGATCTTGGGAGGGGGGGGGGGGGGCACCGCCGCGCTTGCGGTGGGCAACGCAGTGGATTGATGGCATGCTCCCTGGAGGCTTGATCTCAGCCTCTAGTTACTTCATCTCCGGCAGCCATCGCGAGGGCGCGGAGGACAACGACAGGCATATTAGCTCAAGCGTATTGGGTGGCCTCTCATCATTGGAAGTGAGTGGAATATGAGCCCACATGAGTTAGAGGAGCTTAATGCGTTGAACGGCAGGCCTGCGATTATCGCAGCTCCCTTTGGGTGGGCGTGCTCAGCATGACGAGGGCGCGCGATCGATTCCTTTGTTATCTCGAGGCGCCTCGGGGGCCTGGTCGCTTGTGTTCGAAGGTTGGGGGGTCGAAGCTTGGCGACGCTCTGGGGCGTCTTGCTGGAGCTTGAAGCAGGACCTAGTGCTAGGAGGAGTCGGCTTGCAGAGGGGGGCGGGCGCGGGGGGGGCGCCAACGACCGCGCCGATTCCATCGCGGCCCGCTGCCCCTTTCCGGGGCTCTCAGTAATCCCCCGGGCCCAGTCGGCCTCGCAGTCGGCGCCGGCGTCGCGTCGCCCGCGAGCGCCAGCCGGCGGGCGGGCCGACCTTGTTGCGCATGTCTGGCGCGAGAGACCCGCGCGGGCCTCGCGCTGCGCCCGCGCCCCAGGGCGACGGCCCAGGCCCATGTGGCCCCCCGCGCTGACGCGATGGCCTCGCGCGCGGCGCAGGAGCGGGCGCCGCCGACCGTTCGGTTCGGTCCCGCGCACTTCTCATCCAGACGCAAAGCCCCCCATGCTGCTCGCGCGCTTTGCGCGCTGAGCAATGCGATGCAGTTGCGACGGCCGCGCGTTCAATTGGAAACCGCAACGCAAGTTTCCATTCCGGCTCGCGGGGCGGGGCATGAACTTACAGATGCGCCGACCGTCGAGAACTCGCGCGCGCGCCCGCGCCTGCCATGTTGGGCGCGCGCACTGGGCCCGGAAATCTGTGGCTCGGCCGCCCGATGCGCCCCAAAAATCGCTCCGCCCCCCCCCGCCCCCCTTCCCCTCAAAACTCCCCCGCGCTCCTGGAAAAACCGCGCCGCCGAGGCGGGGGCTCGGGCCGCGGCCTGATGGCCCCCAGGGCACAGGGAAATATAAGGAATCAGTACGGAATCAGTACAGAATCAAAACAGAATCGGCACAACTGCGACCCCTGATTCTAGCGGAACCAAAGGAATCAGTACGGAATCAATACGGAATCAAAGGAGGAATCGGCGATGGAACCAGAATCGGCCAGAACGGGGAAGTAGGCCAGAATCGGTGCCAGAACCCATGGAGAGAGGCCTTTTTCCCGCGAGTTCATTGCGGCGGGTCCGCGGCGCGGGCGCGCCGCGCGACTTCGCTGGTTCAGCGAGGCGCGCAGTCGGCGTTCAGAGTGAACAGGTTGTTTTCAGGGCGATATCCCGGCGGCGCGCTGGCGCATTGCGCATTTGCATATACCTGGTGGTCTGTTTGAGGGCGACCCGGCAGCGTCGGCCGAATGGCCCGCAAATGCCGCGCGGCCGATCGCGCGCACCATGCGGTCACGTCGACCGCCGTGTGCCGAGACGGCCGCGCGCCCCGGACCGCGCCATTGCCGCGTTGGATTGGACGGCGCAGCGCCAGTCTTCCAAAAGTCGATACATGCATATCGCGCGTGTCGAGCCAGCAGCAATCGCTCCCAGAAGCAGCCTTGACAGGCGCCCCATGCCCTGCGTCGCCCGGTTCCGGTCCAAATCATAGTTTCTTAGGATGCGCTTGCGCGAATGTGAGCGCGAAGGCAAGTAACGCGTGCGCGCTTGGCGCAGCTTGGGAAATCCAACATGGAGCCCCCAGGGGGCGCGGGGCGCCGGCGACGCCTCCGCCCGCCTCCCGCGCGCCCGACCCCCCCCGCAAGCCGACTCCTCCTACCTGGTGCGCCGATGGGGCGGCAGAATGTCGCGCCGAAGAAGATTCCGCAAGGGGTGCCCCCTTGGAGCTCCAAGGGGGCCACCGTCGCACACCCATCTGCTCAGTGAGTGCGAGCACGCGCAATGAGCTCAAGATCTAGGCAGGTGTTCTCAACGACGGATGCAGCTGATGGAGAAGGAGCTAGCTGACATATACCAATTGCAGGACAACCAACGACGGGTCACAGCTGGACGAGGATATCTCGCTTACCCGCAGTTTGAGATGGTGGTCGCGGCAAGGAGACCACCGGGCCGAGGAGCTGAGTTAGACGCAACGTCGAGATGCTGGGGGAGGGCGCCCATGGCCAAGCCGGACCCCGTCCATGCGTTCAAGAGAAAATGGAAATTGGATTCGCAGTTTGCCGCGCAACGCATGCGCGCGCTCGATAACCCCAAGAAGAACAACCTACCTCAACATGGGCCACTCATGGGAGGTCTTCTGCTACCGACTCGATGATGACTTTTTTTTTTGGGGGGGGGTGTCGCTGCGAGGCGGCAACTGGTTGGCGGCGCAGGGGGCCGCCACAGTAGAGCGGCATTATGAGAGGCACAGCGCGCGCGGGTGGCGGCAGACAGTAGCGAAGTCCATCGGGTAGGAAGACGCGAAGGCGCATGGATGAAGCAAGCTACCGACGAGGTTGGCACGAGCGGAGGCTCGCCCGACCGCGGGCATCAAGCCCCATGCGACGACGCTCAACGCGGACCTCCAGCAACGGCTTAGGATTTGGAAGCATGGTCCTGATGCGAGCACTTGTGCCGCAGGGCTTCATTTGCAGGGCGCGGAGGAAGATGGGCAGATGGCACCTCTCGAAGCCGAGCAGATCAGAACGGCCACAGCAAATTTCAAGCCGAAGACAGCCTCAGGCATTGACGACCTGGGGCCCAGGAGCATGGCGCTGCTCCCGGAAGATTGTCCCAACGCGCTCAGTGGGGTGATGGCGGCGGCAGAGAGGATCATCGCAGTGCCCAGCCAAATGGCAACCACGGTTTTACCGCGGCCCCCCAAACCAGGAGGGGGGGCGCAGGTTGATCTGCCAAAAAATTGACACGCTCAG